CTCCATGTGCTCTAATTTCCTGAGTGCATCTCTCTAAGCACTAGGAGTTTGCACATGCCTTTAGCTAGAGTCAAAGGAGTATTTATGCTTCACCACTGCCATAAAACAAACAAACAAACAAACAAACCATCACAAAAGCCCACTTGCACATTTCCTGCACACTAGGAGAAGGAGGATGCAGTGCCTGAAATCTAGCCTTGTAGATGACATAAGAACAACAACAAAAAAACCCTTCTAGAGCATACAGTAAAATGAGTTCAGTTTGGTTTTGGTTAGAACACACCAACATCACAAGAAACTGCAGGTCTGCTCTCTTCCTGCTACAATTGCCCCATCTGGCCACTACTCTCCCAATAGCTGTACAGCTCCGTAACCAAGGTTAAAAGTTTAAGGAGAGCTGGGTCAACTCTGAAAAGGACTTTAGCTAAGTTGCTTCCACTTTTACGTTTTGAAATACTTTATCCAATGCGTTCAGCTTTACAGCTGTCCCAGTTGTTTCCACACTGATCTATTTATTTATTTTAATACCGTGAGTAAATGAAAATGTATAACACTTTAGTACATCCTTCCAGCTCTTCACTATTTTCAGCAATGACAGTGCTTAAGTCTGAAGGCTCAAAACCAGCCAAGAAACAAGTTTGGTGAGGGAGCCACTGTCCTGAGCGGTTTCCTACACACCACTCCATCCCCCTGAAGGTCTTCTCGAGATACAGTACATATTCTATAGAGTCCTTCTATGGTCAGAATACAGAATTGAACCAAGCCTATACAATATACATTACTTGTGTGCAATAAATGACAGAATGCAAGTGCTTTGAATTCTTTACTCTGCATATATGGCTATGTTTTAGTACAGTACCCACATTTAGATCATAATTTCCACGGGTCTCTATAAACATGCATGAAGATAAACAGGCACTCTTCCCATGCAGAGCTGGAAGAATTCATCCAGAAGCTTTGCTTTGTAAATTATTTCATATGTGTTTTACTGAAGCCATAAAGGATATTAGCAAGTGCGCTGGGAACTTTTGTTTTAAATTATTATGATCTGTTACTCTAATAGAAGTTACTAATATTATTTAACCCCACTGGTGTACTTAAAATGAAAATAGTCTTAAGCTCTTTTCAATAGATTTTGTCTCTATAATAATTTTCCTCCAATACCCTCTTCCTATTTAGCCTATTGGTTTCTAGCTTCATATACCCAGAAAGATACTGAAATAACACAGGCTTTCAAATTATCTTATCTTTCAGATAAAAAAGTAGGCAGCTTTTTTAAAAAAGAATGCTTTATTAACCTTTCCATTCCAATTTACAGAAAGATTCATTCATAAATTAAATAACATGTCAGAAAATTCCAAAGAAAGCAACATCCACCCTTGCTCTGACCATCCTGTGATTTCAGAACTAAAAAACTCACTAAATTATCAGCTGCTGCAATTCTTAGTGGTTCCATTATAACCATACTTAAGTTAGTTGAAACACATATTCTAAAAAGCTTTCCATGCTGCATATACATATATATATACATATATACACAACAAAATAGAAACAATGCTTTTCACGTCCTCTGAAAAAGGGAAGAAACGATAAATTCACACAGATGTAGCATAGCCTCACTTAGGACACTCAACAATATGTATGCAGGAGGGCTTCTGAAGCAGGCAGGTGGGTGGGAGAAGTAACAGAGCTTGCTGAGGTCCACAGTGGGTGAGGTAGGGCAGACCTGGGGGCAGAACGAACACAACAAACGAGAACCCACTCTCAAGCCCACCTACCAAGGGCAGTGCTATTAACAGAACTAAGTCTGTGTCTTTCGGGACCTTCATCATGCTTTCAAATTTTTCAGGACACGGTTTTCACAGAAATAAAACTAGATGCAACATTCCAGCCCTGGTCTTATTAATGGGATTTAAACCATGCTCCTACCTCTCTTCTCACCTCTACCAGGCAGCACCAGCTCTTCTTGACACTGTCCTGCACTTGAATCCCCTTTGGCTACAGGAACTTCCTCACTAACCCCCAAGTCTTCCCTCAGTCACAGCTTTACAAGATAAAAATCTTCCATTCTGCACACACCTCCAGCGTTCCTTGCTCCTCCACACACCTAGATAAACTGCACTTTAACAGACTCCTGTTACCATGATCTCAGCCTTGCTTTAAACATCTTTCTTTTTATCAGTCCAGCAATCACTGAACCATCCCCTGTTTGTCACTATTGCTTTTATGTTTACACACAGACAATTGACCAAAACTGCAAAGCACATCACACTTGACACAAACACTGGGGAAAGTCCTCAGCACTCTCAACCTTTGACAGTGGCCTTCCACTCATTATTTCTGAGTGCTGGCAGCTCACCAGCTCTTTATCCATTTTATTTTACTGTACAGTCCTAATTTTAAAATGAATTTTAGTTGAGTAACAGTAAATCAAGGACCTAATCAAATTTAAATGTTAGCTATATAAATAATGTACTTTCAGTTTGACAGTCAACACACAAAAACAAAACAATGCTTCAGGTTAACTATTTCCTTTTGGCAAGAGCATAAGTAATACAAAACTGGTCTAGCAGTAACTGATGCAATCTTAATTGGAGGCAACATAATCAGCTCCACACACAATGAGAGCAACACTAAAACCGGAACAATTTCTATGGCATACATATTATATGAAAGAAAGATCTGTTGTTTTTAATATAAGATTTTAGGCATGATCACTTTTAAGAGCAGACAGAACCATGGGGTGTTTACTAAGTAGAGATTGGTATGGTAAAACCAAGTATGAAAATGTCCTCCACACTGACTTGGTACAGTAACAAATTGAAAATACAGGTAACTTAAAATAGAAAGTTTTAAACATGTTCAACTTAAAAATACAGGGGGGTCTCATAAACAAACTTTGAGTGTCTGAGAGGCTGTAAGATGTTGCTGACCCAGGTGTTTAATCATCTTTCTGCTGGAGTGAGTAACTTGTAAGAAAGGACAAGAAGGTGTAAGATCTGCCCCCAGGACCTGGGATCCCATTCCCAGCCTCTGCATCAGCACAAGTCACCCAAAAGAAACGTGAGTTCAGGCAAGGGAAGCGAACTGAGGCACAGGTATTGCTGGCACTTCCTTACAGACTGCAGTCTGAGGAGTGGGGATAAGAGACCAGCTGGCAGCATCTTAAACCACAGCATCTAAGGCTTCCAGAGCACATCTGTCAGAGCCATTTGTGAATAAATTTCAGTGTAAGAGTTTGTAGAATTGAGAATTTCACATGTAAAGATTACAATGAAAACACAACGGATAAAAGCACAAAAAGATACAAAGGCTGATTGATAACATAAATGTGAGAAGGAATTATCATGGGTAGACTTAACCTTTTCTTCATTTACACCACAAAAGACAGCCGGAGAGAAAACAATTGAAACTTTGAAATCTACTACATTTCCAACCCAATCTGTTTTCCCAGTATAAAAACCAGTTCATGACATAAAAGGTTATAATTTTGTTCCATTATTTATTTGATTTCAACAGAAATACATGAGGATAAATTTGGTTTCTGGCTAGAGGCAACCAACTACAGATGACACAAATGCCACCTTTTATTTTGTTGTCTTACCTAAGACTAGAAATAATAGCATTAATAGCTGACAATAAACTTGTGTACAAAATGTGTGCTTCAGCTTGCCCTCTGGATTTTAACTTCCCAATACCATTCTCAATGTTAAATTATTATTCTCAATATTAGTGCTAACCTCTGCTCTTTTCCTCTCTCACACCTGTCCTTTCTGCTGTAAAGGACTTCTCCCACCATAAGCTTCTGCTGTCAGAACAGTCTTTCCCCATTTATTCACTTCTCCAGGTCAACATCCATTCCTGGATTTCTACTGCACCCTTCCCTTCCTTTCCCATTTCCCATCCTTCTTTACAACTGCTATTGGGTTTACATTGGCTAATTCACCACAGCGTTTCTTCCCAATTCTGCCTTGTTTTTGATGGTAAAACATACTGAGTGAAAGATGATGACAAGAACAATCACAACACATGAATAAACAATATTTTGTTGACGTATGAATTATCATATTTAAAACTGCAAGAAGTCCCGGGACACAATAAACTGTATTGTGTAAAGCTCCATTGTATCACTGCAGTGTGTAGCTAGAGAGGCAGAATAAAACTTAAAAATCACTAATGCTGATTTTTAGCCCTGTGGCTAAAAAAAATGCAAAAGAAATGAGAAACAAGGGAATTAGCACTGTCCATGTCAAGAATGCCTGAAGTGTTTACTCAACCTACTCAACTACAGGAGCATCTTTGCACAGTTAGTGATACAAAAGCACCTGGGATGCCTTGACATTTTCCCATGACCTTCAAACATAACTCTAACAAATAAAAATGTATCAGGAATCATAGGCTGTTGCAGATGATTTTGGGATATTAAAGCTGTATTAATTCAACACCTATTTGGAAACATAAGCAAGAACTTCTTCTTCTTCTATTGCTGTACCAGTGACCATCTGTGTTTGTCATTATGTGAAACAGAGTTCCTTCCTCAACGGCAAACACCGCAGTTTTTACGGAAATACCCTTTCTTTTTATCTTCTTCTCAAAACGGAAAAAAATTGTTACTGCTTATTTTGTGTGCCAAAAAATACGTCAAGAATAAAACTGGTTATTAAAGAGCTGTAAGATACATAAGATACGTTGTACATAATACTGCAATAATCTATGGAATCATCAGCTTCATAACTAAAAACAGTATCACTGTGTCTGTGATTGATAAACTATGTAAGTATTAAAACATTAAAAATGTTAATCTTTGTAATAATGTCCTGAAAAGTTTTTATATTAATTTGAACCATGGATCATTTTAATATTTAATCATTGCAGACTTCATCTGAAATGAGAATAGCTATTCACTGAAATACACTTCATTTTTTATTTAAAAAACTGTCATTTTTTATTTAAAAAAATGACAGTTAGTATTTATTCCATAAATCTCTTCACATTTTTTCCTCAATCAAAAGTAAACCTGCAAGCAAATGAAAAAATCCACAAGAGAGAAAAATTTAAAGCAGCATTTGTGTCAGAAAACATTGACATTCATAGTCTTGTTTCTCAGGAGTAACTGCATTACAACAGTAGTATTGTATGAGAGTCAGAGGATTGAGGGAGACTTCTACTGCAAATGGAAATCATTGGCTTCTTTGTTTATACCTTACAACCATCTATGTTCCAATCTCTCTATGTATCTCATAATGTGTAAACACAACAATTCACTTATTCTTCCTAAGTACTTAACACGGTGGCTCAGTCCTTCAAGATGATATTCAACTGGTTTAGGGTTTTTTAACAAGTAACCTAATTTTGTAACATTAGAACACTTTAGCAACATATAAAGACTTTCCAAAGTATCCTATCCTCATCTATAATTCACAGCTTGTCTTGCCTAATGAAAAATTTAGATTAATATGGAAATATTGCAAAGGAAAAAACCCACAAAGCAACTTCCTAGTTATGAGAGGAATCTCACAGAAACTCTAAAAATCTTGATGGTATTGATTCATTATTAAATACATTTAAAATTATCTAGCCAATATTAATTCATGGTCTCAAGAAACAAATTTCACAGAAAAATCCAAGGAAAATACCTGCACTGCACAGCAAAAAATATAAAAGCCTTGTCTTGTTTTCTGTGTAGACTAGAGGTTTCCTGGAGCTGCTGCAATAGAGTACAGTGAGCTTAAGCTGCCCTTTAGACTGGGCTGTGGGATTTGGCTGAAATATTTGAATTAAGTAAATCCTAAAGATACTCTGGGCAGTACCACAGGTTGACAGATTAGCTTACATGACTAGTCTCCGTTCTGTACTTGTGACCAACAGGGAGGATTTTCCCATACCTGCTACAAAACTGGCACACAAACTGGCTTCCATCTCTGAAAAGGCCTCAGAGTGTAACAGCGAGAGCTATGAAGTCACAGGACGGGCAGAAGTCAGTGTGGAACCTTCAAATGCATATAAGCTTATTCTGTATCATTCAAGTTTATGAAAAGAAAGACCAAACAACCAAAAAAGCCCCAGTAATAAAATCACTGCCTTTACTCCTGATTTTATGAAGAAAGTATGTATCCCCTTGCATATTACCTTTTGCTAAAGTATGTTCTTAAGGAAAGATGTATGGAAAAATCATGGTCATTCAATGTAATGCAGTAATTAAACTCTGGAATTCAGCTGCTCCTCAGAAATAGTCCTGTTTTTATGTGACTTAACAGAAAGACATATACGTCTTTGTATGTAATTTGATACAAGATTTAAAGCTAATTATATGGGGAGTTTTACCAATGTTAACAGGAATCTCTGCTTTAGTCATTTGATTTGAAGCAATCTTTCCAAACCTAGATATCTGAAGAGCTCCCACATCTGCGTTGAAACAGTAACTGAGTATTTTCTGTATTGTTTTTGCAGATACAAAATACTAACTTAAGCAGACTAAGAAGTCAATTGTAGAACCTTGTTGTAATCTCTACTTGGCTACATTAATAAATCAAATTCACAGAATTACAGGATTGTTGATGTTGAAAAGAACCTCTTGAGGCAATCTATTTGTGCTCATCTATCCCTGCTCAAACAGGTTTAGCTAGAAGACTATACATAAATTATAGAATTACAAATTAGAAAATAAATTACAAAAGGGATTTACATACTGAGGGAAAAATAACAAAAAAGTGAGCAACTCACCTTTTTTTAAAGAAACTGTCAACTGTTTGTATTAATTTATTTCAAAGTCAACACTTTGTTTCTTCTATGCTCACACTTACAGAACTGACCTGAAGTAGACTTAGAACTTCACTGCTTCCATGAAGACAGAAAAGAAGTCCCACAAGGTAAATAGTATTAATTCATGATCAAAGATGATCATTCCAACAAAAAAAACCTACCAAATTTTTCCTTACGTGAACAGACAAACTATTTTCTGAACAATGAAGTTTGTCCCTAGCCTGTTTTGTGATTCAACGGGAAGTGATTCAGCCAAGGATGACATGCCAAACAGCAATACTTAAAAAATGGTTCAATTTTCCCCGTATTTGTAGAATTTTGTGTATCCCTTAAAAATCACTTTATACAGTTTTCCACTATAGAAGTCACATATCAGTAGCAAAGGCTGGATGAAAGTCAATATATCTTTAGTAACAGGTACTCTTTCATTCTGATTAGCTATTTAGGAATGAGCCTGGTCCCCAACAGGGTAGAACTCAAAACCTGCAAGAAATGTAATTGAATTACTGAGTGTGAACATGTGTGCTGTATATACAGCCCAGTTACACCATAAGGTCTTTCAAAGGGGCTTTCTGGTACTGCTGTGCTCTGTCCTCGTAACTGTGTAGGCTGATGGAAGGTGGAGCAGCTTGCGAGTCACACAAACACGGTGGCAGAATCCCCTGCCAACACCTCACATTCAGAAGTTTTGCAGCTCACATATTCTCACATAATTCCGTCCAGGATTTTCTGAGCGCAACCATGACCAGCGCACTCTGCAGAAAATACAAAGGAGCCCAATGTACCCGGAACCCTTCACGCCTGGAAGGTAAACACAGCCAGCTCAACAGCTCCGGGTTGTATCAGATTTACTGCACACCCACAGCCGGCCAAACACACCCAGCCCCGCCACACACCGCACGTGCTGCGGCTCCGGCACGTCCCGGCCTCACTGAGCGCCTGGGGTCCGCACACACAGAGCGGCGGACTGTCCAGCTCCAGCCACCGCGACACCCCGGGCAGGCGGGGTTTCACACCAACCACACCCCACCGGCCGTCAGCACGGGCGGGGTCGCGCTCTCGAGGGAAAACCGCGAGCTACTCTCCCATGGAAGCATCGCGGGCTTCAGCCAGCTCGGCCAGAGTGGCGGGCCCGGGCCAGGCCTGCAACAAGGCCCCGCCGAGACCCTGACGGGGGGTTTGTTTCCCTCCAGGTAGCCTGGTGAGGGACCCAGCGCGGCACCACTCGCTGGTACGGGGAAAGCAGCCCAGGCAGCCAAAGAGGCTCCCTGCGGGTGAGGCAGCACGCCCAGCCCCAGGACAGGACAGCGCCGCAGCTTTTCCTGGCCCCGGCCCCGGCCCCGGCCCCTCAGCCCGCGCTCCGGGGGCGGGGCCGCCCCGATTGGCAGCGCGCTCCGGCCAATCGCGGCGCAGAGCGCTTCCCGCGGGCCAATGGCCGCGCAGCCCCGCGGCGGTCAGCGTGCTGGCCGCGCTGGCGGGCGCTCCGTGCGCGGGGCCAATGGCGGCGCCCCCGCGGCGCGGGAGGGGCGGGCGCCGTGACAGCCCCGCGGGCCCGGCGACTGGGGCCCCTCGCCCTGCCCTGGACGCGGCGCGGTACCTCGGGCCGAGCGGCACAGCTCCGCCTCCTGCGTCCTCTCGCGGCGGAGCGACTTCCTGTGCTAGCGGGGCTCCCGCCGCGTCCTGCCCCAGCGTCCCCGCCTCCCGGGCCCGCCCGCCCTGCCCGGCCCTGGACCCGGCCCCGGCTCCGGCTCCGGCTCCGGCTCCGCGGCACGTGCGGCGACGGGAGGGTTCCCGGCTGCCTGCGGCCCTCGGTTGTCTCTTTGGATTTTGTGGGGAGAGTGTTTTGGGGGAGGCTGAAAGCTCAGCCGTGGAGTGTTTCAGCATACCCCGTTCACGCCCTCTGGTAGCTTTTTACTGCTATTTCCTACTTGTGTCCGAATTGTTGCTCCAGACAGGTAGAGTGAAAAGCAATTAGACACCTTAACATCACAGAATGGTTTGGATTGAAAGGGACCGTAAAGATAATCTAGTTTCCGCCCGCGATGGTTACCATCACAGGCCCGCTTAATTGGGAACTTAAGGTCATAAAAACATAACACATGGCAAATTATGAACCCTGTCAGATAATTTTTTTGCCACCTTGAGATGATGCTAGGTCCTCTGCAACAGATAATTGCTTTACTTCGGTGCAAGAAGCAAGCCACTGACTCTTGGAACAGCTTACTGATTAGTATTGCTAGTGCATGCCTTGGTTCCTGCAAAATGGCACTTGATAACCAAGTGTAACACTCCCCTGTAAGGAAAGAAACACGAAAAAGAAATATTTGCATTTGTTTACCTCTGCAAGTTCGGAAGTGAAAACCGTACCCAGCTGAACTTTCCCATCTTTCTAGGTGACACGCATACAGAGTGGAGAGCGAGCCTACAGAAAAGTTGATGACTCAGTTTGTATCTGGCACGCATACCAAACCACAGAGTTTTCTCCAGTCATTTCTGTCGCAAGCTTAATAAATAGCTCAAATGATACAGCTTTCCTAGAAAGATAGACTGTCCTGTTTTGAGTGATGAGACACAAAATTGTTCTTGTACATTTTTTTTTGCCGAGAAATTTCACACTAAGGGTGTTTAGCTGCTGTGAACATGGCAGCTCACTGAACACAACCTTACATTTTCTTCCCAAGCAATCTTGTCCCCCTCTGGGACTGGTGTTGTCACATCCACTGTGAGCACCTCCTCTGATTTTTCTAACTTCTGTGTTCAGAATTCTGAACAATAATTTATTTCATTCATACTCCTAATAGTAAGCCAGGAATCATATACATATAAAATATTTTAATAGTTTATTTTGATTTCTTGATTGTTTTATTAATAATGGCCAGTCTTCGCGAGCGAAGATTTGGGAAAGGTCATTAACCCTGTGAGCCTGCGCAGTGGATTTTTTTTTAGGTGAGACACAGCGTGCGCTGAACTGAGCCCACCCTTTAATCCTGAGGTTCATCTGCCAGGGCCGAGCAAGCTTGGACAGTGGCAGTGAGGGCCCCAGAACGTAGGTTTGTTTAGAGTGACCTTCTCTTAGATGGATTGCCACACAGGGCTGACGAGCTCCATCTGCCCGGGGGGCTGGGAATCGAACCCGGGTCGCATCGGTGAGAGTCCTGCACCCTAACCACTAGACCACCAGGGGCCCCCTGATTGTTTTATTATGATTCAATTAAACCCAACTCATGATTATGCTCATGGATATTTGAATATAGCATTATGTGCAAAATGGCAATCACATTCAAATAACTGGAATACATGAATTTTGACTGCGTAATCACAACCGAAGTAAATAAATATGAAGAAATATCAGAATCTGTGTTTCAGTTACATGATTTTGCATTATCTAAACCACTGCTGAGGTATTTGTCTGTGTGAGTTCTAGTAGCAAAGTACATCTGGTTCTAGTTCAGTTTCACCTAATTTCGCAGAATCACAGAATATGCCAAGCTGGAAGGGACCCACAAGGATCATCAAGTCCAACTCCTGGCCCTGCACAGGACCACCCCCAAGAGTCACACCATGTTCCTGAGAGTATTATCCAAACGCTTCTTGAACTCTGTCAGCCTTGGTGCTGTGACCACTTCCCTGGGGAGCCTGTTCCGGTGCCCAAACACCCTCTGCGGAAAGAAACTTTTTCTAACATCCAACTTAAACTTCCCCTGACACAACTTTAGGGCATTCCCTTGCGTCCTGTCACTGGTCACCACAGAAAAGAGATCAGTGCCTGCCCTTCCTCTTCCCCTCCCGAGGAAGTTGCAGACTGCGACAAGGTCTCCTCTCAGTCTCCTCTTCTCCAGGCTGAACAGACCAACTGACCTCAACCACTCCTCGTATGGTTTCCCCTCAAAGCCCTTCACCATTTTCATTACCCTTCTTTGAACACTCTCTAATAGCTTAATATCTTTCCTATATTGTGGTAACCAAAACTGGACACAATTTCACCTAATCACAATATTCATTTCACCTAATCACACTATTAATTTCACCATCAAGTTATTCTTCTAAGTAATAAACTTATGTATGCCCAACAGCCTCGAAACTGAATCCATAAAGAAGTCAAGGAATTACAGTTTCATGAAAAGGATTCCTGAGAAGTTTTCTCATTTTTAGTTTCACTGTTTCGCTTCTTCATTCTTAATCTTCATTTTATGGGAAAAATGTTTCCCATTGCAAGGTTTCTTCTGCAGAGAAGGCATTCCCACTGTTCAGAATAGCAGTTTACATTTAGATGAAGTACTACAAACAGACTTGCTTCTTTTTGTGGGATAAAAAGCAGCCTGAGTGAAGTATACGTCCCTTGAAATATTTTAAATCTCTCTTACAGGTATAAATACAGGATGGATATCATTACTATTATGTAACTATAACTGAAGTGTATGTCAATCAGAGAGTAATTTTTATTGATCTTGCTACACTCATCAATTTGTGTCATATCCCTTGAGCAGATGAATTTAAAACTCCAAAAGTATTTTTAACTTAAATGGTTTTATCTCACAAAATTTTGAAGAAAATGTATCAGGTGTTGTTTTCAGTGACTCTTTCCCTGGTTTTTCCCCTATTTTTCATTCCTTCACAAGATCTTCAGCTTACCCCGACAATTTGACAAGAATCTGTCCCTTTTTTTCTTGTATGCAGTGGTTTCCAAGTTTATGATTTGTAATTTTTTTTTAATAGAAGTTCAGTTAAGCCCACTGAAAGTAGGCTTCTTTATTTATCTTTTGCAAAGCTCTGAGAAGCGGTTCTTGAGCTTTTAGAGTTTAGTTAGTTTTAGACAAAAAGTTGGAAAATGATGTTCAACATCTTTGTTCCAAGTTGACAACACAGATACAGAAAACTATCTCCCCAAAATGCAACGACTTGTCTATTGTCTTACCTGATGTCTCCTTATGTATGTCTAACTACCAGGTTAAGCCCAAAGATGTGAAAGAATGTTCTTAATTATTTTTGTTCTATTAATTTTGCCATCATTGAGTAAGAGTTTTGCCCCTTCTCTCATCCAGAACTGTAGCCTGGATGTTGCCAATAAAACAGCTATTTAATTAGGACTGCTGTTCAGGCTATCATTAAATCTTTCAGGGAATACCTTACTCCAGAACTTCTAAAAGGTACAATATTCCCCATCTAACAACAAAGCTAAAACTCTCCTGTCACTTTATGCTCCTGTCACTTCCTAACAATGTAATTTCTGGTGGCTTTGACAGATACAGTCTTGCTGTTCTCATATCCAACCAGAATTGTTGCTGAAAGAAATAATCGCCTTAGCTCATCCCTTTATCCATGTAATTCCTCACTTTGCATCTATCCAGTGTTTCCCATCTCTCTACCCACTCTGTGTACACTTCACCTTCATTTTGAAATCCTTTAGTCCTATCTCTTCTTGTTTTCACTTAGTTTTTATATATGAGCTTTTCATCTCTGACTAACGTAGAATTCTGGCTTTCATTGCACTTTTTTTTTTTTAAAATCCTGTTTTGCTTTCCCCATGTGACACTGTTACTCTCAAATCCATCCAAAAGAGACCTACAGCAGGATAGCTACTGTAACTTCATGCTGCTAGTGTGCTGAGCCGACTCCTGTCATGCTTCTCCCGTATTTACTACTTCTGCCTGTTAGTTCATGTCTTGTCTTACGTTTCAGTTGCAATTTCTTCAGCACGAGTACCTTCCTCTCACTCTATGTCAAGTTAGTGGTTGGCACCACTGTCTCTCAAATCAAACATTTCTAAAACCTCAAAATTTCTTAACCCCCAGATAACTGTCCTTACCCATGCTTCCCACAGAGATAGAAGGAATGTGGAGCCCATCGTCTTTCCTTCCAGCCTTCCAGCTGAAAGTTTCAACGTGGTATCAGTCATGATAGATGGTGTATTTTGTGACACAGACAGCCTGCCAGTAGGACGAACTCATTTCACTGAACCATCTGATGGTAATGACTTTCAGTGACAGACTGACCTAGGCTGGCTCAAGTCAGTGTGCTGGAGGTGAAAGGCTCCATATTCCATTACCAGGACTCTGAGCCATCAAGTCTGCTCCATCCCACCCCTGCTTAATCTGTATTGATAGACTTGGTAGCATTTTCCTAACTGCTCTCATCCATACAGATGTCTGCCGTCATTTTGTTGGTATGGTCAATCAATGCTACATTAAATGTTACCTTCAGTTTACCCTTAATTGTCTAAAGTAGATGTGATATTTTCATTATTTATATAACTATGCCCTAAAATTATGCATTCCAGATTAAAAGAATAAAATACTTGTTTACTTTATTATTATTATTGCTCTGACATCAACTTTTGGATATCTGTGTAAAGAAATTAATCTCCTATCAGAGGGTAAATGGGGACTGACAAGCACTAGCTCCTGTTGCCTCTGGGACATAATTATGCTTGCAAATACAAAACCAGAAAAATCATAAGCTTAACACAGTAGACACTCTTGAAAGTTTCATCTCAGCATGAAGCTATGTTTTAATTATTATTTTTGTCTGCATTGTTCAGATTGACAGTGCACCAACTAGAATAAGTACTTATCCTAGTTAATTCTTCATGAGACTTATGTCACTGGAAGATGCATTTAATTTATTTCCTTTTGCTTTCCTTAAGCCAGCACTGACTAAGTGGTTATCTATAAACATTCCTCAAAGGTTTTACTACTTTAGGGCCAGATCCAAAGCCTGTTGAGTCAATTGGAGACTTCAGAGGTCTCTGGGACAGGCCCTATTACAAGGCAGAGGTGAGCTGTAATTTGTTTGGGGACATTGCAGAATTAATAAAGGAAAAAACCCTTATTTATATTCTACAATATTAACAGATTTCCTATATGATAGAGATTTTCTGTTCTTATGAACTGAATTTGAACACTTTGACATCCTCATTCACCTAAATGATAATTTTAGAGATATATATAGATATAGAGATAGATAGATAAGCATGTCCCAATACCAACTGAAGACTGATAACATTATAATTTATGATATTTTTTCTGATACAGTACTTGAAAATATTATTCTGAGTAATACATACAGTTCTTACACCTGAACAACTGTCATCTGTGTTGTGGAATAAGTTTTTCATATTTATTGATTTAATTGGGTAATTACAATGATATATTTCATTATGGAAAAACATAACATCTTTTAAAATTACTGTGATGATATTTTGGTTAATTTTTTAAAAAGGTAACCCATAAGGTATCAACATAATAGTTATCTATTATACGATCAAACAAAAAGCTCAGCTTCAAACAATGAATATGGAATTTGTGATGACAAAATTAACCAAACAAATACTCTGCCTCCAGATATTAGTGTGGTCATCCAGGAAACAAAAATGTATTTACAATTTTATAAATTATTTTTAATATAATTTGGGATCCATATTCTCCATATTGCATGATAGTGCCCCAAATTACTAGATTGATGCAGTTCTCCTCAGTTTCCCACAGAATTCTCCCCTATTCTGTACAAATAATAAAGTATTCTGTTAAGTCTGGAGTTGAACTTAATTCTCCCCCATCCCAGATGTGTGCCTTAAGTGAAGTATGCACTGTCCCCCTTTATACAGTACTGTTCCATTAGCTAATACAGAGTTGAACACATCAGCAGGATAAGCAGAGATCTGTTTGTCATATACCCAGTTATCCAACAGCAGAATCCTTAGGGCCCTATCCTAGCAAGGGTGGGACC